TTAGTTGAGAGAAAAAGAATTATGGGCATCTTCATTTGACTTGATCATTTTGCTTGAGAGATTTTATGCGATTTCTAAAATATGAGGCTGTCAAACAGTAGAGAAATGCATCTGTCAATGGATGTGCTCACAAAAAATTAATATCCCATATTTATCAATATGCATAAATGGAAGCGCCAACCGTAAAGTAAAAAATCCACTTTTCAATATAAATAAAACGCCAGGCCAGAATAGGCAGTTTGAATCAATGAATGAATGGCTGAAAATTGACAAAAATGACCGGAAACACTTTCTACCATTATACGGACATTTCAAGTTACACTTTGTAATTTTGTTGCTATAGCTGACAAGTGATTTAGTGATAACTTTTTTTTCCACTGCAACTGGTATCAAAGTTTTTAAATAATTATATGGTTGGCGAGTAGGAGAACTATATAGCCACAACGTTGGCACGAATAACATTGAGGTAGGAGTCCAAACCTCCTATTAATGGGAAAAGTTCCTTTTTATCTTTGAAACGTCCCAACTTTACTTTTATCGTGCTCGCACCATTTCTTTCTATCGTCTCTTAATTCTCCTTCAATTATCCGTCATAAGTGACCTTTTGTCATCAAATCAGTGCCTATAAATGCATACGTTTCTCTAAATAGAAGAAATGGTCTTAATCGAAAGAGAGTTAATTTTTTTGTGCGCAAGAAAAGAATTTTATAAATTTTCCAGAAAAGTACAAGATAGTAGGTTGACAAACATAGTTTGAATAGAGCTAAATAAATAAAACGAAGAATTGTTAATTGTTAATTGACAAAAGACCAACTCTCACTCTTGCTAAGAGGAAGGGAAAATTTTGAGTTTTAATCTCTACGCGGCCTTTCATTTTCAAGTACTTTGCCTGGAGAAGGTTAAGTCTTAACGGTCGGTTAAACTTAACTGACGGTATGGTCCGATGCACCTCGGGGAAGAGAACCCCTGCAACGTGATTAAAAGATTTTACGTCAGTTTTAAAATAGGCCATATAACCTGCCTTGGGGCTTAGTCCCCACTTTTCGTTTGTACTCCCTTCATGAAACCATTAAATTAAAGTCGCTTTATAGAAAGCTCAGACTTGTCCTCTAACGCAATTCTATAAAATCTCCTTTTGCCTTCTCACGCTTAAAAGCAGTATTTTCAAGTATTTTTAAGTATTTTTAAAAATGAAAGAAAAATATGTCTGGTCGTTTGGATTCTCGAAAACGGTAATAATAGTAACGGTATACAGATTATGAGTTCTAGCCTAATAACTTACGGCGGTTGTATAATGTCCTTGTTGCACGCAAATTTTGGCCACAATACACTGCTTTAAACCTAAAGTCTCTCGCGCACATCAGACTTAACATTAACATACATAAGGCGCTCAGGAGCTGTAGGTAAATTTACTGCGGAGCCAAATGTACTTCTGGCCCCGAGACAAACTAATTGCTCCGAAATCTCTTAAAACTTTCCCTGTGAAAAAAGAGTGTGTTTTATATAAAATAAAACTCTCTAACTCCTTTCATGTAATGTTTACAAATTCTACTTAGTAGATAATTCCAAGTTTTTCAGAAAAGAGAAAATTGTTCAAGATAGTTAGAGAAGAAAAAGGAGAAATAGGTTTTGGGGAAAGGCATTATCCTGAATATAAGGTAAAACTTTAGAAAAAAAGAAGATTAACCTTTTGTCTAGTGGCAGACTTGGCGCTCCTTTGTTCGAGTTGAGCACTCTGTCGCGACACCCAGTTTTTGTCCAGGTTGGCCCGTTTCTCTCTTTCTGCACCAATCCCCCAACCTCATCCCGACAAACCCCTTTACCACTACAGCTAACTGTGACCAGCAGGTTCTCGTCTACAGGCGTGCCAGAAAGTTAAATCCTGCGAGTTCTCTGATGTTACTAACTTGAAATATTTCAACTCGACAGCGTAAAACACCACAGTAGATAAATCCATTTTGTGAAACAACTTTTATTTCATGACCAGTATCATCTCTACGCAAACCTTATTGTCCAAATTTATATTTTAGACATGTATTATTTTCTTGATGCTAGTTTTCATTACTTTTCACGTTTTTAAAATAGGGCCAAGAAATAATTTTAATGATTTTAATAATTCATTATTGACTTCTATAAATATTTTAATTGATAAATAATTTTCTAATTAGCAGAAGTGTTGTATGGGTGGCAGCGATGGGATTACTGATTGTAGGATAGGTATTAAATAAGATTTGAACTAGGAAAACATTTTTTCTAGGTGGCAGCGGTGGGATTACTGATTATAGAAAAGGTATAAACTTTATAAATAGGAAAACATTTTCTCGGTGTCATTTTCTCGGATAAAAAGAAACGGCGATATGATTCTCCGGAATAGCAAAAATCTTAATTAAAGAATTTGAAAATTTCAAAAATGCAATTGTCTCTGTAGAATCTTAACTAACATCTAGAGAGTTAAACAAGGCAAGACACTTTAACTTTTAATACGTTCCACTTAAACCAATTACTAAGCAATGCTTCGCTTAATAAATTAATTCCTTTGAAGGAGAATTTTTTTTTCAACATTTAAGAAATCGACTCTATTTAATTTTTTTCTATATAATAAAAAAAATGCCATTTAAATTTGTCACATAGGTACCTAAATAAATGATAGATATTCTCATTTTTCTACATAATAAATCATTTCTATTTATATTTCATGTATGTATCCATGTATAACTATTATCGTTATTATAAAATAATCCCCTTCACTGACATGCAGGGATTTGATCATGTTATAATATCGGATAATATACATAGATAAGCATAAATTTACAAATGAGCACAATGATTTATGTATAGAATGAGTAAATTATACATAAGCAAATTTATATTCTCAATTTAATATATGTCGACTGAATGGAAAAATGTTATCAATTTCATTTTTACATTTCAATTATTGACGAAAATGCATACAAAATTTCATTCGATTTATAATTTTTATGAAATTTTATTCTCAAAAAATTTAAAATATTTATTAATTTAAAAAAATATTCCCTTCAAATACAAGGGTTTGATTCGTTTAAAATTGTACGTTATTATGATTGAAACTGTGCCAGAATTTTCAAAATATTATATTGATAAGAATATTATTAATAATAATAATTTATTTACTAATTTACCAAGTTCAGTTAAAAAAAAAGTTTCATAAGGAATTGAGGACAATTTATAACGTAAATCATATTGCCAGGTCTCTACATCCAAGTCGTTGTTCGTAAATCACTGAATCTCAAGAGGCCATGATTCAGTCACACTGTTTGCTTGCGAGAGTTAGCATTGCTGTTTCTCTAGTAATTTAAGGTCGTGTCAAAAAAAAGAGCATAGATTGTCCTGGGACTAGTTCTCAATTAGTTAGAAATCACATTAACAAATTAAAGTTCAAACCACTCTCACGTTCTTTTCTTTATTGGTTTCTTATTTTTATTCTACTAAACTAAATGATAATTTACAAAATTAACATAATATTAGTAATAGCGAATTTCTAAGAAAAAATACTTTGAATGCATATTATTTTCACGTCATTTACGTGCAAATAAAAATTTGTCAACATAAGGAATGAAATGTCAACACAAAGATTGAAAAGAAAATTATTTTTGAGATGAATTTTCAAATCAGACATTAATATAAATATAATAAAATATTACGATTTCAATTTTATGCGCATTCATTAGTCTTTATCTATTCGATTCAAGAAAGCCTTAGTCATATTTTTACTGACATTTCATGGTTCTTTTTAGCAAAATTCTGTATTGCAAAAGAAAGGATCCCTACTAGATGAGATGTAATAAAATGAAAAAATTTACGACGTACTAGAAATTTTCGTTATTCCATTCTCAATATTAGATGTGCGTAGGGCGAGGAACTTTTTATCAAGTTGGAAGGCGACTTAGTGTTCTTTATGACGTTGTTTCCGCGAATCGATGCCGTCGAATGTCCTAGCCAAGAAAGCTTTGCCTTCTCGTTTGGTTGTCTTTTTATTACACTTTAACACCTGAGGCAACTTTAATGGAAGCTGTATTTGTATTGGAGCAAAAATAAATAAAATCAATTTTCCTAATATAATTATTTTCAGTAATGAAATTCAATAAAAAAATTGTGTCGTCATCAGAGTTTATCAACTAAAATTAAAATATTAATACTAATAAAAGCGTACATGTTGAAAAAATATTTGAAAAAACATTATTACTACTATCGAACTGTCTACTCAATTAATTCATCCTGTGAGAACTTTTATTTTTTGTATTAAAATGTAAATTTATTTACGTCCACCCGATGAGTGGTTGGACATTTTGTATTAATAAAATATGATATCTTTCATTACTTTCAATTCTGATACTGACAGTACTTGTCGTTTTTTACTATACATATTTCAGATTTATTTCTATTGCACCTAATAATTGTATTGGTTTTATTCGAAAAAAATTAAAAATTAAAGTGTTTATATTTTATGGACAGAAATTACTAGCGTTTTAAATTTTAATAAATTTGAAATTTCGCGTATGTTTTAAAAATTTCGGTCTCGTCGACTATTGTACGCGAAATTTTTTTTTTTCGTAATTTACTGCCCTCCTTTTTTCCAGTGCTTTCTCTCTCTCTCGCTCTTTGGCTCACTGATCCCCGAGCTCTTACTGTTGCTCCTTTTTTCAACGTGAAACGAACGGCAGGACTCAGCGATTTATAGTAACAACGTCCGAATATTTTTGGGAAATTTTTACTGCACCCGTTCTCTCTCTAATATCGCTCGTTTATTCAGTGGAATGAAACAGCATTTTTACAACAAAAGAGCAAAGATTGTGTTTCAATTCTTTTTTTTTCAATTTCAATAAAAGCTCATGCAATAGCTTATACATGAAAATAAAATTTATAATATCTATATTGCAGGATAATAATTGTTAAAATACGAAACTGCAATAGGTTTATAAAAACTTTTCATGACTATGATAATACTGAAGAAAATGACTCACCCTCCAAAACTGGATGTCGTGGCTTATAAGACATGTCTGTAAAAAATAGATAATATTCGTCAAATATTTTTAGTCTGAACAAAAACATATTATGTAAACTTAACAAAAGTATTATTTATGATATTTTACTATTATACTTGTTACATGCAAAATGTAGGTATGAATGTAAATATTACTAAAAAAAATACTGCTTTTTTGTGCATTCATTATTATATTTTATAGTTTTATATTATAGTTTATCTATTCGATTTAGTAGAAGAACTTTAATGATATTTTTATTTCTTACTGACTTTTCATGGTAATGACTACATAAAAAAATAGTAAAAGCGCATAAGTAGGGGAGAGTGGGGCAAAATGGGGTAGGCGGGTCAAATGGGGTACCTCTGTTTTTCCATGATAGGTACTTTTAATTTTTTTTCCCTCGACATATATCATTCATGTTGATAAGAAACTGTTATTAATTATGAAGACACTCCAAAGAAAATTTTTTTTTGAAAGTTATACAACTTTTAAGTTTTAAGCAAAAAAAATATGAATTTTTTTCAAAATTAAAGTGCTTACCAAACTTTTTGGGATAATGCATTTAATTTGGCAAGTGTGGTATCTTTTTCAGTACTTATTCTAGAGTAATTTCCAATAGAATAGATTGTTTAATTGTTTACAATAACTTGTAAACATTGCATTTTGTTTTAATATGCAGTGTGGGGCAGAATGGGGTACCTAAGTGTGGGGCATGCCGGAAGATACGCCGCTTCATTAAAACTATATTTAAAAACATTATATTATGCATATTTAAAGGTTTCCTGCAGAAGAATCAATATTTTTGTTTGGAAATTTATACCATCGATGTTTCATTATCGATATATCGATATTTTGCAATATAGATGTTTTTTTGTTAAATTCCAATAAATATTACTTGTTTTTTCATAGTAATAAAGAATCCTACTTTTTGTTTGTATTTATAATCTCATGCAACAAGAATTTAATGAATTTTGAAAAAATATTCCATGTTTTGTATAGTTATTTGATGACACCCCATTTTGCCCCACGGGTGGGGCAAAATGGGATTTTAGCACTTTCTCAGAAAATACAATATAAGTTCTTTCAAAAATTTTTTTCTCCGCTATTATCATAATTTCCTCAAAGCTAAGTGTACAAAGAAGAATTCTGAAGTTCAGCTGAATCGATTTATTCGTTTGGTTCTCTGTAAACAGCCAATTTCAAAAAGGTACCCCATTTTGCCCCACTCTCCCCTAACCAGCAAACAAAATAAGTTAGCTAAGGTACGAAAATTGCATGTTCCACGGAAATATTATCAATAATGTTTTAAAAATTAAGAAAAATTCTCACTTCGCTATGATTTCACGCGATGCCAAACTTTCTAGTCTTATAATATAATCCACTATTGTAAAGAAAATGGATTGAATCATTTTTTTTAATTTTCAAACGAAACAAACCGTCTTTTTAAATGAATGTTAAATATATTTTATCAAGTTTGCCGATGGCGTCAAGGACAAATGGTGTGCTGTGGACTTTTTACGGGAAACTCATTATTTTTTACGGTGAAATGTAAAAAGCAAGAGGAGTGAAATATTTTCTGGAGTGGGGAATTTCTACGAAGAAGGAAAAGATCTGCACTCGTGCGAGCGATTGATTCTCTCGATATTTCAGGAAAAACTTTGGACTATCCGCACGCGAAAAATGAGGAAACTTTTGCTCCCAGATTCGTGATCACGTCGTTGGCGTTTTCACATATATAAAGATTTTTGACAGTGTATACTATACTTAAAATATATGGTCAAAAACTTGCACGCAAAAAAAGCTTCGACGACAAAAAAAAATTCTTTTTATGAAAATTCAAGTATAATTATCCTATAGTTACAATTAATTTGTTTACATAATTCATCTTTCTTTACAAGAAAAGAAGCTCTTTTACTGGGCCTTCAACTGAAATTGTTTAATCAAAAAGAGGAAATTAGAATTAATTTCAATTCTCGATAATTTTGTTATCAGAAAATTTTATTTCATCTTTACGATTCGAATATAAGGAGGAAAATGAGAAACGATCAGTTCACTGAGTTATTAAGAAGAAGTCATACAAATTAAAAAGAATTGTATAACAGTTTGAAAAAAATAACGATGGGATGTGAGGTACTTGAGTCAGCGTTGAAATTTTCAAACTCTCACAGAAACCTGAGTCGATAACTTGGGTTACACAACTAACAAGGTGCCTCTGTGCGTTTTTCAAAGGAATTTTATACCTCGTCGTTACCTTGACAGAAACTGGAATTGAAGAGAAAAGAAAAGCTGTGCCGGAAAATTTCAAATCAAAAAGTTAAAAACCCTTTAAAAAATCGAGAAGACATTTCAACTCTCTTTCAAAGTTGGAAACTTAAAAAAAATGTTCTTCTTTATAATGTTAATTTATACTTTTTTTGGTCATATTTTCATTCTGCGAAATGGCTAATACTTTAAAATTTATTGACCCTTAAAAATAGTATTTCGATTAAAGACTATTAAATGTCTATTTGGTGTTAATCACAAGCAAGATTAAAGCACAAGCCAATGAGTTAGGGAGGGATACAGAGGCTGCCCGTTTCTCTCTCTCTCTCTCTCTCTCTCTTAGATTATTTAGTATGTACGGCACGTGTTCGCATCTGGCTTTATGAGCGTTCCCGGCGTTTCTCCATTTCGTCCTCATTCCCAAGCAAGCCCCTAGCTTCAGTGAAGCTCAACTGCTGCCTCCAGGATTAAAGATGCTGCGACTCATATTAAAATGAGCATCAAGCAAAGAGTTTTCCATTATTCCCGATCAAACCTTAACCATATCTTTTACTTTTAATTTAATTACATATTCAGTAATATCACCAATTGTGTTTTAAAGAGTATTTTTTAAAGGTCCATCAGACTGCGAAAGTTAATAAAATCGACTGATAATAATTTAAGAAAAATAATATACTGTTTTTCCAAAGCGCTATATATGATACTAACAATATCAACGTTTCGGCGAAAAGCGTAAAAAACTCTTACTGGTACTGCTGGTACTTATACGTAATGCTTGAATGGGCCATAACAGATTTTATGATATAAAATTTACGATAGACATAATTAAATAATCAATATTTTTTTAACTATAAACATCATCCCCTTTATTCAAATCAAAGCATTTCAAAATTTATCGTCTTTTTTAAAATTAACAAATTAAGGCACACTTTTAAAGAATAATTTCTTAGCTATCCCCTTTTCAAATAAAATTAACAATTTTAAAAGTAATAGAACGTAAAAATTTATTATTCAAATTTTTTTTATGAAGATAAAATTTATTAAAAGTACTGAAAAATATTAAATTTTTACAATTCAGAAGAAAACTTTCGTGTATGTACTCTAAAAAAATATTTTCTTTTGTAAAATTTATTTAAGGAAATATTCACAACTTTTATCGAGAAAAGCAGGTGGACTGTTTTGTTAGTAATTTATCGTCTGCGTATAAACTTGCCTTAACTACTTGGAATGAAATTAATGAAAATCATGCAAGACACAAAAATGTTTTGCGTAAAGTCGGAGGTGAAAAAATTGGGAACATGCAAGTGAGTGTGTGTGGAAAGAAAGGAAGAAACACCTAATTGCCTCATTTCAAGGGACAATGACTCTTGTACACGAGCTTTTTCCACCCTTCTTTTACAACTGTAATTCTCACGGTCAAATAAACCACACGGCATGCCTACAAAACTCTCTCTTTATTGAACCCTAATATTATGATTAATGAAAGCTTTTCTGACGGCTAATTTTCTTTAAAAATCTTGTTTATCTCTGAAAAGAGGTATATTATTATTATTGCGAAATTTGTACTTTTGTAGCGAAACTTAATTTGATCAATAGATGTGTACATAAAAGTTCCAAATGTGGAAAATAGAACCATTAAGTTCTTTTGGGTTTACGTCTTCTTTTTCTATATAGGGGATTTATCCGAACCGAAATGAACCGTCTAAATAAATTCTTCTAACTAGGTAAAAAGAAGTAAAGGGAAGTCTATGTCGATCGACTGAGATTGCTCGAGTTTTCGCGAAGCGAGTTCACCGGAGAATTAATGTTAACTCCTTGGGAGTTAATAAGTCTAGCACCGATAAATCCCTTTTTACTTGCTCTTTCTTTTTCGTCTGTCTTCCTCACTCACCCTCTCAGATTTTGCACCCCCTCTCTTCAGTTCACGTTTACTTTCTCCTAGGTTCTCTCTTCTCTCTTCTTTACTTTTTTACATCGCTTCTCATTTGGCGAGGACTTGGCCAGAACCTGAAAACTTTTCTCCACAAAAAGCAAGTAGAAACAGTTGTGTCTTACCTCCGAAAAGAGGTAATAAGAAACTAGATACTAGACGTAGACACTAGACAGTAACGTCAAGTTATCTTTGCTAATTTGTTTATCGGGAATTTACACTTGCGGGGAAGCAATGATGTATTTTCCGAAAAAAATCCTTGTTTTCGAGGATTGTTCTTGAAAGTTGTTTCATGTTCAACTTGTCGACCGTGAAAGAAACGAGGAGCAAACTCGCGCAAATTAAAAAACTTAAGAAAACGAGTGACAACCGTGTAACCAAAAAACTTTTTTAATTCAAACTTCCTTGGGTCACTTATAATTTGTAAAACACTCTTTTTCAGAAGCTAGCCCCTCCTAGGAATTAAAACTCCTGGGAATTAACACTGATTTCAAACGTAGTCTAATCCAACAAAAAACTTTTAATCCCAAAATCTAACATTGGTGTTTGTCTTTTTTTTATAAATTTTTCCACACAATGAAACTAAGTTTCGGAATGGTAGAATTTGGCAACATTCGACAAAACTGGCTATACCTACTCACAATACCAGACCAACAGTACTGGCAGCATCTGAGCGATTCGGTTTATTTTCGGGTCAAGTTTTCGCCCCAGCACTCCACAATCAGCTCTGGTATTGTTCACGAGATTCTCCATAGCAGAGAAACGCGTTCAGACAAACTGTTGTCTCTGGGATTTTCCAGGGGATTCTCGGAAATTCGATTTAGGGACACAGCCATGCAGATTGGTAACAATCACAAACGTTTTTTCCCAAATCTCAATTAGTCAAAAGCTACTAATTTTTTCTGTTCGAAAGAAGACAAAAATTGATTTCACCCCATTGCTTATATACTTAAGAGATTATTATTTTTAATGGAAATTTTCGTTGGAAAATAAAACTTTTTATTCTACAAATAATGTTTACGATTTTGAATACTATTCTGTCAATTGTGTTAATCCTTTTTTTCGATTTTAATTAAATCCAAACTTGAGATTCAATTAAGTCAAACGTTTCAAAGCGGAATTTTAATTAGGCAACAAGGATCCTTGGCTTCATTTAAATGCAGCTCATTGAAATGTTCCATCATTTATTTACCTTTAATAAAAAAGCATTTTTGCTATTTTGGTTTTTAAAGCATAAAAATATAATAGTAACAAATTAAATTTTTTCTTTTAGATCAATTTAGTTTTTTCATAATTTTCAATCCTGTATGAAGAAATTTATTTTTCAGGATGGTCACAAGTTTCAGTTTATCAATTTCCCTGACAATTTATTGACATTAAAATTATTTTCCCTGACAAGTTTCTTTTTACAGGAAAATATGAGAGTTTACGGAAAATGAGTGAAATTTATAAATTTAATAATTTCTAAAATTTATAATTATAAATCTTCCTGAATTTAACTATTTTCTACAATTTTCTACTAAACTTCATCTCTTAATCAATTATTTAAAATAATTTTCCTAAAGTTCTTCTAGAATCCAATTAATTAAAAACAAAAACTCAATTTTTTGAAATAAATTGTAACTGTTATTAAGATATATGTAATATTTTCTAAAACTTATAAAAAAGAAATTCTTATAAATCATTTTTTAAAAATATTTTTAAACAATTTTTTAAAGTTAATAGTTTTTTAATTATATACAATTAAAAAATTTCCATACAATTGAAATTTGATAAAATCTTTTAAAAATAGTTGAATTTTTGAAAAATAAGAATCAAAATAAAATTTTTTAAGAATTTTAATTACAACTAGGACCATAATTTCTCAGAAATTGTAACAAATTTAGAACAGTAAATTTTTATAAATTTTTATTTACTTTTTTCGAAGATAATTGAATCTTAAAAAAAAAATAAATAACAATTCTAAGAATTAGTTTTTAAAAATATTTTAATGTACCTAATTTTTTAAAAATAATTGAATTTCTTAAATAAATTTTTCTATAATTTAAAAAAACTAATTAATTTCAATTAAAAATTTTGAACATGATTTTCTTTTCCAAATTGTTAAAAATAATTTTAAAATGTTATTATTCTTTGTAAGTATTTGAATTTTTGGAAATATGTAATTGAAAATTCCTGAAAATATTGAATTTTTAAAAATTGGAAGCTAATTTTCATTAATTTTAAAGATTTTTCATTAAAATTTTTAAAAATTCAATAATTTTCCATATTTGAAATTATAATTCTTCCTGTCATTTCCCTGATGACTTTACTGACAAGAATTTGGATTTACTGACATTTCCCTGACTTCACTGACTTTACTGACATGTGGCGGATTTTTGAAGTTTATGCTTTCAGCTTGAATTAAATTTTATTGTTTTATTGTTTATTTTATTGTTTGTTGTCCACTTTTTTTAGGGTTTTTCTATTATTGTGAAAAGCATTGTAATTCCAAGCAAGTGTCAAGTGTTCTACGTGCTAAGCATATCAAGTTTAGTTTATAAAACTAGAAGACAGAAACATGTCGCCTAAAAGTATTTTATAATATTAAATGTTACTTACAATTGAAATATAAGAGAATTCCTGCAACAAGGACGAAAATGACGACGAGTAAGACCAAAAGAAGGAGAAGAATGGTAGGTTTGCACCAGGGATTTGTTTGAATTTCTGTTTGTATATTTTCTTTGGTCCTTTTTTGCGCCACCACTGTCGACTCTCCACTGACATTAACCATCACCCCCTTGTACGAGTACTGAGGCGTTTTTTTATTTGCCAAAAATCCGTGATCATCCTCGGGATCGGAGTAAACGCCGTAAGCTTCGAAATTATTTTTTCTGTATCCGTTCATTTTCTCTGAATTAGCATCGCCCTTCTCGTTCCTTCCACTTTTTTCCGTCCTGTCGGAATTTTGATTTCTCGCGTAGGCAGCGGATGAAGAGGAACCTTGGCCAATTTTGAGAGTCGGATCTTGCGACCTGGAGTTATCCTGATATCTGGTCGAGGACTCGTACTTTGTTCGTTCGTAACTTTTCGAACTGGTAAGTTGGTACTTGGCAGGATCGTGAGTTTTAACTCCAGTGTCGTAGGCGTCGTACTTGGGATTGGAATTGTACACCCTTCCTCCGCTTTCATAACTCGAGTCGTAGGATTTTCCTGCAGAAGCCTCGTATCTTGGTAGCGTGCCATACATTTTACCAACCGAGTGATATTTGCCGTCATAGTTTCTGTAGTCTTGAGCACTGGAGGAAGCGAGTTCGTAGGAAGAATCGTGCGTTTTTACACCGGACTGATAACCCTTCGATATCTCATAATCCTTGCTCTGATGAGAATGCTCTTTTTTCGGTTCGAGCTTCAAAGTTTCTTCCGCGTACCTCGTGGAGTATTCGTAATCAGTCATGTCTCTGGAATATCTTCGATAAGGAACGTCAAGATCGGATTCTTGGTAGGTTCTCTCGGCCTTTCTCTCATATCTCAAGCTTTCCTCGGGATATATTCTGTTGTCATACCTCTCCAAAGTGTCTCGGTCGTATGGTAATTTTCGGTCCAAGGTACGCGATGAGTAATTGCGATCGGCGGCATTCATGTCACCATAATTTCCAGTTGCCTGACCATCTTGGTAAGACTTGCTGGGGTCGTACTCCAAATATCGGGATGACCTTCGCTCGCTTCCATAGTCCATCGAACCTTCCACTACGTTCGGCAGTTTGCTGCTCAAGTTCTCGCCGGCACCACGGACCGAGTTCTCGGCATGCTCCACCAAATTAGGCAGGCGCAACGTGGACGAGCTACCTGGCGTGTTGTCCGTTAAATCCAGCTTGAGGTTGTTGCTGCTGGTCCGGCGCATTTTCCCTCCTTTGCATGATCATGGGAGAAATCTTGTTTGCTCCTTAAATGACACTTCGATTAGAAATTCTTCGCTGTCAATTGCGGGATGTTTGTTAGTAGGGAAGCAGGTTGTTAGTATTCCAATCATCGAGGATAGGAATATTCGAGTTCTTCTGGAAAGAAAGAAAGAATTTGTTAGTATTTGTTATTTAGGATTGAAAAGGATTATTTGTACATCAAGTAATAGAATATTGAGAAAGTTAAAAAGAGATAGATATTAATTCATGATTAAGTTAAAATGAAGATGAAATGTTAATATACGCGTATATATAATTTCTTTCTTCCCGTGTAGAAATCACCATGCTATGCCTAAAATGATTATTGGCCCTAGCTTGGACCTAACTTGGCAACCCCTTTTTATATATCCTAGGCTGGTCCTAACTTGGTACTAGCTAGGAGATCCAGTTATGACTTAGAAAAATTTTTAGGAAAATAAAGTGTCAAAATTGATACATGAAAAACATGTAGAAATTGATAAATATTCTCAATTAATATTTATAAAATTAATTGATAATCATATTTGTTTAAACAATTTATTGTTTGACATAAATCAGAAAATTATACAAATACTATAAAATAAAGTTAATTTATTAATTTATTAATTCAGCAATTGTTTAAACAAATAATTGTTATTTACTAACTTTTTACACAATCAACCTAGAAACTAGCAGTTTTTTCTAATTTTGCAATAAGTAAATACTCAGATTAGTTAATTGCAAAATTTTAAAAGACTACAAGTGTCTAGACGCTTTATTGTCTTAAGAATTAATAAATAACAACAATTTTTTGTTTAAACAAATGCTGAATTGTTAAAATTATAAATTATCTTCATATTTCACTACTCAAGTGTAATAATCGCGAAGTTAGATAAAAAACTGCAAATTTTTAAGTAATTTGTTACAAAAGTTAATAAAACAGCAAAATTTATTTATTTATTTAAACAGATACAGACTGCAATATAATTATCATTAGTAAAATATATTTCTAATTTCGTTCGCTGATTTTAAGTTTCGTTTAAGTTGGTGCTAAACACTAAGAGATATTGCAATTCGAATGTGGGCTGACCCACCCAGGTCCAACCCAGGACCTACCTGGGCTTCCTAGTTTCATTAGCAAAAATTTCTAAGTCCAAGTCTAACAAATTTTTTGCAACAAAAAATTAATGCTTAAAATGATTTAGAATAATGAAAAACGTGTTTTTAACATAAATTTTTTTGACATTTTTTTAAAAAGTGGATTACCCGCTTAATTAATTAGGAAAAATTTCCTAGTCCAAAAGACGAATATTTTTTTTAGACCAAGAAATTAATGTTAAAAATGATTGAGAACAATGAAAAACCTGTTTTTAACGAAAATGTATAGATATTTTTTTTCTTGATATAATATAAAAATATTAATTTTTGAATTTTTATATTTGGATATTATTTTATTATTATTGTTGTTGTTAAACTATTTTTTTTATTTATTATTGTGTATTAGTGTCAATAATTACTATATTGAATCATCAAAAGCAAGTCCACAAGTCACTGACAATAAAAATTTTGATCTCAACTAGTTTCATTAGCATAGTGGTTAGAGCGTTAGTCTCGTAGTCCGTAGGTCGTAGGTTCGATTCCCGCGTGCGTTAGATTTTATTTACTTCTTAGGTTTGCGTTTATTCCGATTTTTCTGCATTGTATTCGTATAAGTATGCAATTTAATGATTATATATACTGTAAAATAATTTAATTAACAAATTTCTAATTTTTTTATAATTTTTAATGTATATATTAGAGGAATATATATTAATCTCTACATATACTAACATTATTTATGAATTCGCTTTTGGTCATCACTTAATTGAAAAAAATAATAATTAATTAAAACTAATACTTATTATTAATAATTTAGGTTATTTCTTTAACAAATATTATTAACTAATTAAAATTATAATGAAATAGAAAATACTGTCTGAGATGGTCCTTTCTAGGTCCTAAAATGGACCCATAAACTGGTCCTAACTAGGCTCCCAAGTTAGGACCAGGCTAGAATCGCATCACCACCCATTGTTGGTCCAACCTACACTGCCAACCTAGGACCAAGCTATTAACAGGGCAAAATAGGTAGGACCTGGCTAGGACCAATTTTCATTTTCCACACGGGTTCTAAAAGCTTTTAGATTCTTAAAAAATTCTACTCGTCCACAGTTTCTTAAGCACATCTTCATTTTTATCGGTCAGTTGTGACATGAAATTTCCCTATGACTCTCTCTCTCTCTCTCTCTCTCTCTAATAAGTAAGGTAGGGCTCAAAGGATATTGCTGCTCCACATGCAAATATGATTAGTTCCGGAGCATAACTTCATTTGCGTATATTAAAAGCCGAGTTAGCTTACTTTATGCAAACGAGTATAAAGACAATGAATACTACAAAGGTGTCGCAGCGAAAAAATGTTTAGCTGAAAATTACAGGGGAAGGAATATAGCAAACTTTAAAATGTAACATTGTAACTTGATTAAAATGTATGAAATATTTTACAATAACCCAGTTAATGGGTTCAAAAGTCTTAGAATTTTCAAGGCACTGTGGTTCCTGTAGTTATCAAGCAGATTTATATCTCAAACTACTTTACCACTAAATCGAACCTCGATATTCCAAACACCAGTTAGTTCTGACCCAAAGATATTCCAAAATTACACTGGCATATTCCGGAAAGCAATAATTGCACCTTGGAATGCTGTCGAAGCTAGTTTTGGAACTCCAGCATTCTTGTGGGTTCGTTCCAACTCCGAGGATCAATAAACTTTATAAACCTCAATAATTCTATTTGATATTCAACAAGATTTTTCAATAAATGCATTTCGTTCGATTAATGTTTGGTGTTATTAAAGTTGGATAATAGTAGAACAGGTTTAGATTCCAAAAAAAGAAGACTTGTTATATTAGTGTGTGTGTGTGTGTGTGTGTGTGTGGAAATTTAAAAACATTTACTTTAAATTTATTCTCATACACAAACGACTTTATTGAGAAAACAATAGTAATAATAGTAAAATTAGCCAATAGTAATAAACTGAATATCGGCATCCTGCATCCAAGTATCGTAGTCACAGTGCGACCATATTAATTCTCATCTCAATTTTCAACGCTTCGTTGGTTTCTGTCCGACTGTAGCGACTTTTTCCGACGCGCCTGTATCAGCATTTTTCTGCGTTTATTTGACAATTTGGCTCGTCGCTCGCCAAGTCTCTTTTTCTACGCCTGTCTAACCATTCCGTTCTCACCACTCGCTTTTGTTTCTCTCTCTCTCTCTCTTTCTCTGGCACGTGCTTCCATCCCTTGCTCCAAAATAAACGCTCTCACTTCCTCTATCCTCTTCGTTCCCCAGTCGCATAAAAACTTTTGAATTATTTATGTTTTTCCACGGATCCGCAGTCGCAGTGCGGGATGCAAATGCATCTTCTTTTTTACCGCGCCTTTGAATGTTTAATGCCAAGGCGGAAGCTGATTCTACCACTATACCTTAGCGGCAAAGGAGAAAGTTGAAGATGAAATGTCCTGGAAGGTCGGATCGCAGAAAAAGGCACAAACAACAGTTCGCTGTGTAAATATGTACAGAGCTCTCGGAAATTTTCTCAAAAATATCGCAATAAAGATGCTAAAAGTTTCCTGTCTACCAAAATTCATTGTAAATAAAAAATGAAGAGACGATGATGCCTGAGATTCATTCGCTGTTCAATTATTTCATTTTTCAACATTTAAAACGCATTAGGAGTGATTTCAATGTTGAAAACTTGTTTACAATTGGGAAAAGAACAATTTTAAAAATATATAGTACTCTCCTGCACTGTCTTAGTGACGGATAATATTACTGACACAAAAAAGGCAATAGAGAAAAAGTGTAAAATAGGATAGAGAAAAGAAATACATACAACGAAGACAGATATAGGCAATAAATGAAACACGGAGTAGCAAGTCTTTAATTTGTTCAGTGCTCGGTTCACCGAAACTCATAAATCAAGACGATTTCGTGACACGTTGAAAATGCTCAGTCTCCAAACGTGTAGTGAGAAATCCCACTGAAAGAAAAGAACCACCTTGAAATTCTATGAAAATTCCAACAGCAAATTTTCTCTAGATTACCTGGAATTTTCACACAAATTCCAAAAATTCAATGTGGATCTCATAATTTTTAGGGAAATTACAAATGTAATATTAAAAAAAAAAAAAAGAAAATCATGTCAAAAAATGTCTCTTAAAATATCTTTTTTTAAATGATAAACTTTGTAATTCGAGACAACTTTTTTTAAGTTTACCTACATAATTTTTTAAAGATTTATGTACATTGTAATGTACACAAGTTACAACATTAATAAAATCACCATACACACTTAGAATATCCAACTTGTATTATGTACAACATCTACTAATTTGAAATCTCGTATAGTTTGCGAAAAGACGGTCCCACAGTAATAATAAATCACAACAGAAACATCGTCTGCCTTCATTGTAAGAGAATTTAATTTAAGATCCTCTAGGGAAACGAATGTCTCAAACGGCGCAACTTCAAAGTAGATGTACTTTTAGTTTATGTATGTATACACATATATAGATGAAAAAACTTTTGTCGAGATGATCATTCGTTACAAAAACCTTACGCAAAAAAATAGTTACTCTTTGCTATGCAAGAATTTGCTCAAACCAACATGAAAAATTAATCACTAAGAATATAATAACAGCAGTAAAAAACAATGTCTCAAAAGTTTTATTTTAATTATATTATTTAATTTTAATTTTAATAAATTTTTTTTCTAAATATTGGCTTTAAATTACATGTAGATTTTCAAGTTTAGAAGTAATCGATATGAGGTTTGTAGTATGTGTGGATAATATACATATGTATATCCATGTGCCTCCCCTGAATAGCACTTTTGTGTTCACCCGGGAGTGCCTTCGTGCCGAGGCCAACTTTCTTAGGGCAACACTCTCGTTAAATAAATACTAAAATTAAAGGAGTCTCTGAGCTACTCCTTTGTATTATCGTTTCTTTACAGTCTTCCATTTTCAACATCAAATTCGAAGAAATATCGTCTTTATTCTTTTTCACATATTTCACTTTCCGAAAATCTAGTTTTAGT